GTAAGATTCTGGAGGTTTAAACTGGCTCCCAGCTCCATGAATGGCATCCTTACTCGCAGGTCCTTCTTTGCCCTGCTCACTCTCCTCACTGCCCTTGTGTTGCCCTGTCCTCCACAGGGGCTCCCCTTCCCTGAACTGCACTCTCTTTGCTCATGCAGAGCCCTGCCCCACTGCTCTGTGCCCTGGGAACGCGGGCCTCCACAGACTTCCTTAAGAAGCCCTTTTCCCTCATGACTTCCAGTTCGGTTTACCCAATGGAAAATCCTAGCAGGAGGGAATGCAATATGGAATGTACTCCCCTAGCTCCCTTCTGATCAGTGGTGACAATCTGACTGTTTTCCTCTACTGAAATCTGCAGTTGCTACCAGGAAACCCACTTTATACAATCATTCTTTGGGGCCTGTAATCACTCCCTCTTTTTGCTTCTATGGACCAAGGGTAGAAATGGCCCCCTGGGTTTGTTAGCCCAGAGTAAAGTTTTAAGTCTCAATGGTTTCCTTAAACCCTGCTTCTATTGCTATGAATAGCTCTTTCCTCAAAATGCCTCTTCCTCCTACCTTTCTTAATTATTCCACTTGAATGTCCCATCCAGGCCCCTTATATAGACAGTGCATCAACTCTACCTTTCAACAGGCTTCTTGTTCCTGGATGCCTATTCAGATCATCTCTCTTCCGTCTGATCTGCCTAGTTTCCCCAATGAGGATACACCTCTGCATTGTAGATCTCCTGTCCTAAATCCACAGATTAGATGTTATGTTTGCATATGACCTTTCAATGGAAACGGAATGCTCCCAAAGGGGAGGAATGTGTCTGACTCAACAAGTACCCTCAGGAGTATCAGAGAGGCTAGCAGAGGTTGACATGCCCCATAAATGCCTCTTAGAGGAAAGAGAAACAGTTACTACGTGGGCTTGTAACATGACATGGAATAAGATATCAGCAAAAGTTGGACTGAACTTCACTCCACAAAAGACTGGCTGATTCTTTAGTAGCTTCCCATGTGTGTTTATCAGGCCTGACTTGCATGCCTCTGGGGATGAGGAGTTCACTCACCCGCAGAAAGTACTGACTGAAGATGACATAGTTTGTTACTCAGCTCAAAGCTGTCTCTTGTAACTGCAGCACTCTTCTTTCAGTCATGGCTTGGAAATTATATAAAATAACACTAGCCCCTTGCCCACAGCACAAATGTTCAGACTCACAGTGTGTATGTCATGACCTTGAAGTCCTGATCTTGGGAGAAGGTTTTCCTCCAGATCAACAGCTGTGACAGGTTAGATCTCATGCTCCCAGCCCTTCATTTCCCCAGTTGTCTGTCTCAGCACCTCAGCGGGCTGTCCTTATCACTACCTATTATTGAGGGCACCTGCTGCCAGTGTAGCCCTAAGAGTTCTAAAGTGGATCACGGAAATGCAAGGCTGTCATCCAGCTCTCTTTCAGTCAGTATTTTATAGCCCCGATTGGGAGAACTGAAGAAGATGATGAGGGTGGAAAGTCTGTGGCTAACAGGAGCATCACAACAGTGCTGAGCTGAGCAGACCACTAAAGATTGGGAATCCGGAGCCCTTCTGTCCAGTCTTTACCACAAATAGACTATGTGAGCTCTGGACTTGGTTTCCTTTTACAGAGTAAAAAGGGCTGAATCCAACAACCTGTGAAGATGTTTTCAAGTCAAACAACTGGCATCACTGCAATGCTTTCTCTAGCCTCTCTGCTGGGACACTGTGCTTTCCTGCATAGAGGCATTCCTGAAAACAGGCACAATGGACTGAAAACAAAAGTTAAACATTTCAATGCATTGCAAAGTAGTACTTGTCTGATGGAATCTGCTAGTCTGCCCAACTGCATTATTGATAGATCTTATTTTCTCAAAAGAACTGCTACAGAAAATGTCAGGATGGATTTTAATCAGTATTGCCCTAAGTGAGGAGTTCACACACTGTTTTCTACCAGTTCATGGTTGCTAAGCATGGTATTAATAAGTTGACGTTTGGAAAGTTTTAGAGAATTCTGCCATGGCCACACTGCTCCTGAGTTATTTCTTTCACATCAATTCATTTGTGTTGTCCTATACAAAGGTGTTACTTTGTGACATACAGAGGAAGAAACTGGGCCCCTTGTTATAAATTGAGAAGCAGTGGTTTAAATATTGTCTTTCCGTAGAAAGAGATGGAGAAAGAGGTAGAGATAGGCATAAAATTTATATACTATATAAACATGTACTATATATATATATATATATGTGTGTGTGTGTGTACAGAGAGAGAGAAAGAGAGAGAGATCTTCTTTCTCTTCCTCCTTCTCCTGTCTTGTTTATAATCACAAGCTGAATATTTCTCTACAACATTCTGCAGGTTTCTCTCTGTACACGGAGAGCTGATGTGACCAAAACTCAGTAACCCCAGCCTGGTCAGGAGATGACACAGGCCTGGTGGGGCTCACTCAGGGGACATAGCTTTCCCAGCCAGAAAACAAATGGGCCCTGGTGTGAGTGGTTACATAGCTGACACATGGTTGCTCACACACATTCTAAATACACAGTCCTGTGACTGAGAAAAGAAGGGGTCTTTGCAATCTGCCAGTGCTGCCTGCTGATTGTGATTTATTTGGAATCTGGAGTCCCTTGGTCACTCACATCAGCATGGTTCTCTACAAAGGCCAATGCCATTGATTCTGACCCAATCACAACTCATTAGTTTTCTCCCAAGGTATCAGTAAAGCCACTCTTTACTGTTACCCTGTCTATTAATTCTACTTCTAATTGTTCCTAGGATTTAAAACTAAACCCCATCAGTCAGTCACTAAGCCTGGGTCTGACTCTAAGCTATCCATACATTACTAAATGTCTTTAGTACAAGCCCCTCATCTTTCAGAATCCTGAATTTCCTTCAGTAAAATATGACTAAGTATATCTACATTCCCAGAACTTGACAAGAGATGAATAAACATTGTTGCACGAGTGAGGGAATGAGAAAACAATGGAAGTACAGATACGTAAATGGTTTTCAGCTATGCCCATCCTCCCTCACGTGCACTCTGCTTGGCACACAGGTACATCCTGGAAGTCTAGCCCAGTCGAACACACTACACTGAACACAGAAGACTCACATTTGCCACTTTGAAAATGACCTTCTTGACCTGTGAACTTACTAACTCGTTTTGCTCTCTAAGGTTCCTCTGTTTCTCATCAGTCAAATGAAAGTGTTAACTCCTGTCTCGTTGCCCTTGTCAAGTTCTGGCAAAGCCCCGATGAGAGCAGAGATGACAGTGCATCATAACCTGGAAGGGACTGGCCATACACCAAGGCTTCTTTACAGCATGGGCTGTGTGTGTCTCGGCGCCAAGGTGAGAGTCCAGGGGCCCTCCTGGTGCCAGGAGGCTGAGCTGACGTACTTGCTGACTTGCTGCCAGGCACGACACTCTCCTGCCAGCATTGTCATTCCTTTTCACATAGGTACTCTGCCTGTGCATGGGAGGCCCTTGCTCTCTTTAAAGACATAAAGAGAAGCGTCAGCAGAAAACCTGCAGAGGTCTGCAAATGTTCTCTAGCCATCAGCAAGTCCAGGGTCCTGTGTGTTGGACAGAATGGAAAAGTTCAGCACGAATCTGTGAAAAACAGGAAAGTGGATGTTGACTGTTCCTCTGGCTTGAAACTAGTTCCTTCAGGTCCCACATCAAATACAGGTCACTTTAGGGCTGCAAGCTGGGATTTCTTAGTATACTGGACAGCCACAGAAAAGGCTAAGTGAGACACTGGACAGAAGGCTCTTCCTTTTCCCTCTTCTCAGCTTTATAAGAGAAGACCTTTCCCCTACCTGCAATGTCCTTCCCTTTCCCCAACCCAACACCTGCTATCCAAGTTACATTTAATTCTTTTTAGAAAAAAATTGTATTGTGTAGATTTAAAGCTTATAAGATGAAATTATGAAATACACATAAATCATGAAAAATTTACCATGGTAAAACTAATAAACACATCTGTCATTTCACATAGTAGCCTTCTTCATTGCAATATCAGCTATAATCTGCATATTTAGCATGAATCCCAGATACAGCACTATTTTATTACCTCAGCCTTTGTGCTGTAATTTTAGATCTATGACTTGTCTCAAATTATACCTGTTCTTGAAGACCTTGGTGAGATACCACGTCTCTCCAAGAAATCCCCATGTGATATGCTCAAGCTGCATTCAACTTTTCCACCTTGATTTCCTAGAACACTTCCTGAACACCACACACTCTCTTTCATTAGGCAGCAAATGACAATCCTTTTTACTGACAGCGACTTATATACTAGCCAGTCATGGGGAGCGATTGTGGTTTATACTCCTCTCTGCCCTCCACACAGCTTGACAATGCATACATCATAATTATTCCCATTGTACAGAAAAATGGATTTCTAATGTCTGGAAAGTGAGAAATTAGAAAAGCTCATATCTGAACCCAGGTTGCTGATCCCAGGTACCTGCAACCCTACAGCACTGTCTAACAGACAACATGGAAATATTCCAAACTGCTCTGTCCAGCATGGCAGCACTAGCCCCAGGTGGCACATGAGTATTTGAAATGTGACCAGTGCAACTCAGGAATTAGATTCTAAATTTTACTTATTTTCTATTGATTTAAATTTAAATATTCACATGTGGTAAGGGACTACTGAATTGAACAGTATGGTCTAACTCACTCTGCTATGCACGTTATGACTATTGTCTATTTGTACGCAGTGCATATTACTCAATTTAAACATTGCAATCTTTGAAAGACAGGGTTCTGAGTCTTTCTTCATAGCCAATAGTAAATATTCCATCAGTAGATTTATCATCCACTATGCTAGTATATGGTCCCCTTCATCAGCTGAGTGATAGACTCACCTTGGTCATAGAGGTGCTGCATGAACCAGAAAATTGTCCTAATGTCTATGGGTCTCAGGTATCTTTCCTCTAAAGCAGGGTATCACATTTAGCTTTCAGCTGGGCATCTTTAGCCCAGCGGGTCTTACCTGTGTGGAGAGTCAGGATCAAAGCATGTCTTAGTGACGTCAGTGATTTCAGGGTCACAGCACTCTCCACCATCAAAGTTGAATCGTTCGTAATTGCAATCCATGTCACACACACCATTTTGCTGCTTCTTCATGAAGGCGGGGTATCGCAGATGGCGGCAGTCACCACCGTCATGGCCTGTGAGTGTGTGGTTGCACTCAGGATCACAGTTCTCATCCCCAATCTTACTGATGTCACAGTTGGCCAGAATGAGACGGTGGCGCAGGGAGGAGTTGTCCACCTCCAGCACCTCCAGTTCCCAGGAGATGTTGTAGTCCCTGAAGGCCTCGGCCAGTTGTCTGTGCTGGAAGTCCACCTGCTGCTGGCTCACAGTCGGGTTCTCATGGTCATCGTTGTAGAGGTTGACCACGCGGTAGCGCACAACCTTCGGTTGGCGGAAACTGGGGAGCTCATTGTAATTGGCAATGACTTCTGTGTTATCGCACAATGTCTGGCCACACAGAGGGGGCTCCAGATTTGTGTCTAGCAGGAAGCCATGGGCATTGCTCATTTCCACTTGGGGGCTGTTGCCATCCTTCATGGGGGACCACATGCGCTTTACATTGTCCCAGTTCTCCTGCAGGAGGAGCTGAGGTAGGGGGGTGTGCAGGCCGTGGGTTTCCATGTCCAACAGAATCTCTCGCTGAGTCCTGGCCACCTTCCACAGATGGAAGTGCTCGATGTAGCCCCGGTAGTTGTGATTCAGAGCACTGCCCCCCAACATAAGAACTTTACACTTCTGGGTCAGCGGGCTGAATATGCCACCTACTTGCTCCCCAGAAGTGGCCACCTGGGCACCATTCACATACAGCTTCATCAGACGCCCATCGTAAGTGGCAGCTAGGTACACCCACTGGCCTGGGAGGTAGCTGCGGTGGGCATTGATGGTGGTCACTTGCCGGGCCCGGTCTGTCTTCAAGGAGAAAAAGTAGCGTGGGTCTCTGTTGCCTTGATCACTGACGGTGTGAATGCCCACGACCCATCCTCGGTCACGCGAGGTATAAGAACATTTGTCATACAGCCCTATGTGACCCCAAAAGAGAAAGATGAATAAATAAAGGTGGAAGGAGAAGGCAGTAAGTTTCTTTTCTCTGGTAAGGTTTCTATTAGGATATCCTACACAAGAGGTATTTAAAATGCCTTGGGGGGCCCTGGAACTTACTAATGGTGCCTCTGGGACCACCCCAAGAGCAAGGCGAGAGCTAGAGGATCTGAGAGGGCAAGCACGTTGGTTTGGAGCTGTCTGATTACAATCTGAACCCATACAGTTTCACCTTTGTTAGCTTTGCATATGGAGCACGTAAGAAGGTTTTGTTTGGAGAGCACTTTGTCTCAAGAAAATGTGAGAGCAACAACAGAAGCAATAAAAGTCTGAAAAATCATAGGAGTTGTGGAGGATTATGTGGGGAAGAGGACTTTCTAGTTAGGATGGCATTTTAATTGTACAGTTGTATATAAGGTAGGTGTAGAAACAATGGGAGATGATTTTGGAAGGTGGTGCTCGTTTAGAAGAGGAGTTTGCTTGAGAGTCACCAGAGCTTTGAGAGGCACCTGCTCTCTGCAGGCAATAAATCACCCATAATGCTGAGGTATGGGGAAAGTTGGCCTAGAAAAGTGAAGCCCAGGGTTAAAGAACCAAGGGTCCTGCCTCTAACAGGAGTCTTTGCAAGCTGAGACATTCACCTCCAAAGAAAAGTAAACACAAAATGGCTGAGCTGGAAAGATGTTTTAAAGATTATCATCTCCAATTCTTTTACCTGACAAATGAAGGACCTGATCCATGGGATGGAAGCATTTTTTGGGGGTTCGAAAGAATTATTGACAAATCTTTTGAGACAAATTCAGCTTTTTTTCCTTTATACAAAAGCATACTGGAGATGGAGATGCTTGGATAATGGTAAAGATAATCAAACCTTGCCACGCCAGCCATCAAACTAAAATTTATACATGTACAACTCACTTAACACACATAACATCCTCCACAGCAATGATACTATATTTCTCATTTAAAGGAAGATGGGTGTGTCAATTAAAGATAAATAGATAGGTTCAAGATCAACTGGCTGGCAAGCAGATACCAGCTCTATATGACACTAGAACACATTGTCCTGTGTGCTAATCCCAGAACACATCCTACCCCAGGTCAGCAGTATTACCAGGGATTGGGTACCACCTTGTCAAAATAGATACATAGATGACTCAAAAGTTATATTATATATTTGGGGAAGTTCCAGCCAGCTATCCCTAGACTGCCATTGGGAATGGCAGTGGATTTTCTCTGGATCTAACTATCTTGATACTCACCAACCCCTTGTTCCTCAGTCTTTCTAGAATATACGAAGTGTCACTGGCATCAACAAAACTGTTGCACGGGGAAGAAGTTTTTCTAATTATGAGTGCATTTTAAGTGTCACATGACATATGAGGCCAGGCAAGAGGAGATGGAAGGATAGTTGACAGTGAATAAACGACCCTCCTTTAGGACAGTCTCTTCTCTCAGCTGGAGTATTGTCTCCATTACTATGACTTTGTGCATTTGCCATTAAAGCTCATCAAATGGTCAGGGAGAGAGTTCAGCAAAATCAATAGAGATGGCTCCTATAATCTTTTACTCCTCTGTGGGTACCATGACTTTAGAGCTTATGTATTTTGCTGTTGGCTGCTGATATGATCAGCAGTCTGGCTGGTGCAGGGTAACCCCAATTATACCAGTTTTCCCACTCCCCATGTAACAGCATTTTGGGTAGTGGCCAGAGTCTCCTTACAGTCTTCCTGCTCCTGCAGCTTGGTGACCCTGGCAGAGCACCAAGTGGGTCCTCAGGGTCTTGGCACTCTGTGATAGTTCCTCCCTGTCATATAGCGAGTCCTATTCATATCTTTCTTCCAGGTTCCCAGTGACTAATATACAAGTGCTTCTTAAAAGAAGCAGGCTGTGAAAGCCCCGTGGGTGAGGATCATTCTCTCCTCTGAACTTGTTTTCTCTTTAGGAAATTCGACACTGGCTTTCTGGTTTTGGAGTTGTCTGTGTCCTCACTGTTACCTCCTCTCTGCTAGACTGACTGATTCTCAAGAGTGATGACCATGTCTAGGTCATCCCAGTACCCTGCCCTAGGCCTAGCTAGAGCAGGGACTCAGTAAGCATCTTACTGAGACACTAGTGACTCTGCAAAGAGTAGGAAGAGACAGGCAGGGACTTTAAGGACAAACAGAATGGAAGGCACTAATTTATGTCTTTGTGGCTAAAGGACAGAGAGAACCAGAGGACAGAATGTGTTCCTGGTAGGGGAGAAAGAGCAGATTCTTTGGACTTGGGATAATCTGCTTTGAATCTTGATGACAGCAATTACTAGCCATATGTCTGGGACAAAAATTACTTCATCTCTGAGGGCCTTAATTCATCTGTTTCTCTCATCTGTATTTCTCTTTAAATATGTTGTCATACTGAAAGATATAGTAGATATAGTGTCCTTGGCATACAATAACTTTCCAAATGGGAGTTCATTTTTTAAGATGTTAGAGGGTCTGAGAGTGATATCGAGGACAAAAAAAGTAGGAAATAACTGGGAACAAAATACAGAAAGACTAGAGACAAAAAGTACCCTGAAGGCATCTTTCCCAAGGTGTTAAGAGCTAGGATGAAGGCTTGAAAAAGCAGAAGCTATACTCAAATACTCACTGGCGAGCTCTACTTAGAAACTTTAATTCCTTCTCAGCTTAGGAGATATTAAGACACTGCATATTAAAAGCTACCTCCCACTGACTCGCTCCAAAGACAAAGATCTGACTCCAGATTTGGAATAAGTTTCCCCATATCATTCTTGTTGCTGCCCCCGGGGGAATCCATGTGAGCAGAAGTAGCCAAAGCTGCCACATTCTTGTCTACCCCACCTCTTAGCTCAACTTCTCCCCCTCCTCTGCCCAACCTCTCTCCTCCTGAAAAGAAAATGAAGGGTCTTCTAATGAGAAAATTAAAAATGAAATAGTATCCTCTCCCTTTTCCTCCTTGTAGGCCTTTATTTTGCCAGGGGCTCCTGGTCCCCGGTTTTCCTGTTGCCTTTGGAAGGAGGCTAGCCTGGCTAGCAAGGTAAAATGTTTACACATCTGTAGGGTGCTCCCAGTTCAGAAGCTTCCCTCAAGCTGGGACCCCAGCTTAGGCTACCTCTGTTTGTGGGTGAGAGAAAAATAGGGAAGGAATGAGAGGGACCATCTGCTATAACACAGAGCTAAGAAGTGAGGGGTGGTTTAGCCCTGGGAGGCAGAGAGGAAGGGCAACAAGAGGGTTTTCAGTGGAACCAAGAGGAAACACATTAAGGGAAATGAGAACCTTGAAGTAGTGGTTTCAGAAGTTCAGAGGGAGATATTTACCTGCAGTCAAAGCGGCAAAAGGATATCATTGAACTTTAGTAGAGATGGAGAAGTATAGTGATGGGGTTTTTTTCTGTAAAAATAACTTAGTAGTAGTCACATTTCAGGGGACTAGATGGGAAGCACCCCATGCTACTCACCCCCAAAGCGGGGATTTGGCATCAGAGGCTTGGCATGCCAGGTAACTGCCTGGGACAAGTCACACCCTCCTTTACACTGCTGGGCTTTATTTCCCTTCTCTGTAAAAGGAGGGTCTGGGTGAAATGATAGCCTGCTAGAATTTAAGAGCTCTTTTGTTCACTCTTAGAATGGTTCCTTGTATGCAGACGCTGTTCAAAAATATGTGTTGATTTGAATTGGATGCCTTATGTCATCCCCAATACTTGCATGCTCAGATTCCCTCTCCTCTGTGTCTCTCCACACAGGACACAGAGCAGTATTCTTTGCAGGGCACAAGACTATCCACACCACTCCATGCTGCTCTTCCCCACAGTTGTTCAGCAAGACAGAGATGTAATTTTTTTTTTTTTTAAATGGTGCAACTCATTCTGAAGTCAGCACCATCTGTGTGCGACTACAGAGTGATCCCAGGGGACATATCCTCACAGGAAAAGGTGGAAGGCCACATGCAATTTTGCATGCAATCTACATATAATTAGCATACACCTGCCTCAGTGCTATACCTATGAGGAACCAGACGATGAGAATATCAAGAGCCCTTTCACAGACCAATGAGGTATAAGCTTCACATGGCAAGTGTTGAGAGGGGTCAAGATCCAAATCATGAGAAGAGCTTGCAGTAGGTTTTCTGTTAAGGCACCTGGTCAGCTGTTTTTTTGTTTTGTTTTTTTTTTTTTTTACAGAGGATTCTACCTTCCTACATCTAATCTTGAGGTACAAAGGGCTTCAGTGTTCACAGAAGCTTGATGTTTGCTTGTTTTTACTGCCTCTGTTTCTTCTCATTTTTTCCCCTTTGGACTTCACCGCAGGGAGGAATTACATGCATGAGAAAGGAAAGACCAAAGGCAAAAGGCATGCTAGGAGTTCCCCAAAATGTTGGCTTGAGCTGTCCTGGGGGAGTACGACGGCATTTAGGAACACCTTCTAAGCATCATATCAAAGATACTACCACAGGGAAGCATGGTCTGAGCATCTCATGACTCCCCAAGTCCTCCTTTCAAATATTCATTGTACTCTGAACTAAGCCTACCACTTATTATATGTCCCTTCTACCCAAATATGTGACTCCTTATTCACTGATAAATGCTTTACATCCAATAGAGCCTGGCACGTTGTGGTTGCTCCATAGAGTTTGTCACTGAATGTAAAATAAAGGCAAAAAAAGGGACTGGGTACCTTCTTATTTTTTCCTTCTTTAGATATGGTATTTAAATGTAAAAATCCCTAACTACTGTGTGTTTTGCACTAGCTCTCTTGTTGAATCTTCTCAACAAAGCTATCAGCATTGTCTAGTCTTCAGCTGAGGCTCAGGAAGAACAGATGTCCTCCAAAGCAACACAGCCCAAGGCTCAGGCTTACAGGATTCCCAGACTTGGACTTGCAATCGCGTCACCACAGTAAGTGCCAAGTGCCAAGCATTTTATTGTAAGATGTTTAAAGGCATAGCCCCCTCTAGAAATATTTTTGCAAGTCCTGCA